GCCAAGCGCATCGGCTCCCGCCTTTGTGCAAAGTGCGGGAGCCCTCCTGGCCATGTCACCCTCGTGGCTTTTCAGCCACACCCTACAAAGATACAGACCGGAGTTCGAGGAATCGAAAACAATTTTTTGGACAATTTTTCGATTTATGCGTGTTATCCTCGCGCAGGGGCCATGCTAATCTCTGTGCAGCTGATCTCAGCCGCACGATCTCGTGGATCGCACGACCAAGATCGGCCGCTCCCGAAGGTCTTATAAGGTTGGCCAACTTCAAAAAGGAGTCAACCCAACGGTGCATGTCGAATTCGATCCCCATGTCTGCTGGTAAGATTCTGATACGTTAACCTACTGAGCTGGTTCCTACTATGACGGTAGTAGGGGCATCTCTTCTACAAGAAGTGATCAGCCCATCTACCTCACCTGCCCGTGGCATAGCACGCACCGTCGGCTCCAACCCCTCCTTACAGCTTGCCAGACCCTTCCTGCCTCCCCTACCTATGTTGGTTGTCCGCTTGCTTGCGGCACAGGAAGGTGCCCGGCCACGTAGGCCAGAGTGTCGGGTTTCTCGGGCCCAGGCGCGAAGTCAAATCCTGCAAAAAAAAATAAAAATAAAAAATTGTCGACCCATTTCCCTTGCGTCGCGGTCCTATACCCGACGTTGTTGTTCCTTTTAGCCTAGTTAGACCTTAAATCGCGTGGCTTAGTAACCGCACGTCATTATTTTAGATAGACGAGGTCTAGTTTTAGCATTTCCACGTTTGCATGCCTCTGGAACCCTGCTATAAACTGCCAACTACCACCATTACTTTCAGACGCCGGAAGCGTCTGAACTAAAGTTCATAAAAGTTTCAGTTTCTCGGTCATAGTTAGTCTGAATGAAATTTTGGCAACCGTCAGTCTCATCAAGTCCTTCAATTCAACGAAAAGGTCAGACAACGTCCGACATTGAAAAACCCTGAGCAGATATCTGGACCCCATTAGACGACGTCCCCGTCGTCCACCATTAAAATAAAAGTCAGGATTCTTATGAAATTTCCATGTGAGAGCAACGATCACAATACACGACAATTCCAAAAATCATCCAGAACTTCAGCTGAAACTATTTCCCCAACATACAATAATACAACAACAAAATTGTATTTAGCCTCTAGAAGCCTTAACTCAATACAACTCATAAGTGGATGGAATGATACCAGATTTTGCCTTTAGCAAGCTTTATCCAAACTTGGACCCAAGTCTAGCCCCTGGAAGCCTTCAATTCGTGGGAACGTTTTCTGAATGATCCTAGCATCATCCCACGGGCGGCCACTCTTAAGTTTTTTGTCCTCTGAATGGTACCGGAAGCTCTCCAGCTAAGATCTAAAACTTCATCCATTCAATTGATATTCGCGTTGCATCTAGGCAGAACCCAGATGAGTCAGGAATAACCCCTGACAGGTCTTTCTAAACGTATTAACGTCGAAGTTGTTCAGACAAAGTATGAACGACCCATCCAGAGAGAAACCATTCGGCAAAAGTTCCCCGTCCAATCCACATAAGTTACCATGCCCGTTACTTTTGAACTCCTTGTGATATGCGTCGAGGAGTGGTGTAATCCACTCAATGCGATAACATCTCGACATCAAGCTTCGCTTTAGATTCGAGCTTCACCACATTCCGTCCGATTCCAGTTGTGACCCTATCCATCCCTTGCACATAGAGTAGGACAAACCCACCTCATACGACTGAGGCTGGTCAGACTTCGATCATAGAGATAAAAATGTGACTCTATTTGAAACGAGGTTAGGTGATCACTCCTCCCCTCACGACAAACAGTAGTTGTCTACCACTACATGCAGCGTTTTAACAAGACCTCAACACCTTCCTCCCTTTCAATGATAGTGTAGTCCTCCTTCCTTAAACTACATAGAATTCGGAAGACAAAATCTCACTTTGATGGTGTTGGCAGTCATGTACATTGGTCTTCGTGAGTCGAAGTGATCCTGTTGCGTGAACCAGCTGTAGATAGGATAGCCGGGTAGAGTAGGCTGGGCGCTGAGCGCCAGACATAGCAGAGCGACTGTGGATACTGTGTTGGTGTGGCCTACGGGCTTGAGCTTTGGCTCATTACTTCATTGGATTGCTCTATATGGATGGTTTTCTCGGTGCATTTGTACTCTCTGCTTGGGACACGGCTACTTGGACAACTGTGTGATTTCGCAATTTGCTTTTATGTGTATCGCTCACACTCATATTCCTTGCAAAAATGGCTGGGAAACATACTGGTGGTTCAAATTTTAGTACTAAGTTTTTATCCTCTCCCATTTGTTCTCAGGCCTTTTTTCGCCACCGACTTCACCTCTGTTACTTAATCACATTTTCTTTTGCAGGTGGATTTACTAAGACGCCTGCACCATCGGTGCCTTGTGAATCTGGTTGGCTGGTGCGATGAAGTGGAGAAGGTCTTGATATACGAATACAAGGAAAATGGCAGCCTCAGTAGCATGCTCTACAATAAGAAAGGTAAGGGAAGAGTTTGCGTCTTTATGTTGTTCACTTGTTTCTTTCCATCTTTATTTATGCAAATCAATTGTAAAAGTAGCAGATGACTAAATAAGGTGGACACCAATAGCATGTGACTGAATGGCACACATGTAACTGTTCGTAAACTCGTCATGAGCTCAAATATTGATGCAATCCGACGGCCAGAATGAACGGTTAACAAAAAGCATGGCAGCAGTGGACAAGTAAACCGGACAAATCAAGATATCGGAAACTGGATGTCCCGATTTCATCTGAACGTTCAGATGTTTGGTAATGTCCAGATCAACCTGTACGGATCCCTGTCCGGAGGGGTTTATATGTCGGATTTATTTAAACAAAAGAAACAGTATGTGCACACATACAAAGTGCTATACAAAATATTACAAAAAAATTGAAAACAATGAAAAGCCCTAGTGTGATGACCCGTCCTAACATGGACTGAAACACACGACTGATTTCTGAGTTTTTCCCATTGACTGGATGCCTTGCTGAGTTCCCCGCCTGCTACTAAGTCTGTGTGTGCACGCTTGCTGGACTGCATGTCTGTCTGAGTGTTGGTTGGCTTGAGTGTGTGTGTGGCCCGCAAGGGCACTTGCTCGTTCATTGGGCCCTCAGGGCCGGTACTTACCTGCGGCCTTGACATTGAGGGATTGCAGCAGGAAAAACACTCAAGTAGCGGGTAGGCCGGTACCGCACCCTGAAGGGGTAGATGTGTGGGTACTGGAGGCCTAGTAGAAGAAGACAAAAGTGGCATGTTTAGAGGCCCAGTAGTTGTAGGTTAGGTCTAGGCGGATACCAGTCCAACCAGTCTGGGTCTAGGGCCTGTACGGGCAATATCAGAGTCTTCAATGATGTTTCCCTCCGAAAGGGAGGAGGTATCGGTTGCTTGGAAGGCCAAGCGGCCTGGAAGTCACCGCCCGAAGAGGCAAGCAGGCTGCTATATCTCCCAGTTGGGCAAAGAGCCCGGCCTCTTTCTCGGTGTGCAAGTTTGGCGACACACTGGTTGGAGCGTCGGTTGGAGCAGCGCTATCCAGGAGTAGCGCTGCTGGGGGAAGGAGAAGGACACGGAGGAGGAAGAAGGACAGGAAGGGGGGAGGAGCGCCAGGGGTACTTACCTGGGTATGGTGGCAGCCATCTTCATCACCGTGGTGGGTGCTGCGGCAGGGAGTCCCCAACTGGGGAGAGCCCGACCAAGAAGCTTCAAGGCAGAGTTGGGCATGGCGGCCTGAGTGAAGCAGCCATAGCTGCTTTGGGTTGTCCTTTGGGCATGTGGGCAAGGCCTAGTAGTCCGCCATAGCCTCGGCCTATGATGAGGAAGGGAGGAGGAGGCGGCCATGGCTATGGTGGATCTCAAGTGATGTCGGCAGTAGAAGAGGTACTCGGACATTGATTCTGGATCAGTCATTCAACGTTGTATTATTATTTCTTGTATGAATAGGAGAAGGGGGAGATAAGGAGGAGGAGATTGTTGGGCGAAGAAGAAGAGCCTTGTCATTTGTCTATGCTGGTGTACATCATCGTCTTCTTCTTTCTTACTTCTTCTTCTTTTTCTAATCCTCTCTCTCCTCTCAAGTTCATTCATTTATTTCTGCAATTGGGCGGCATTGTACTATCTGATGGATGTGTATATCGAAATTGGCCAGGATCATAACACTAGGGTAAGGAAAGACGCCGGAGTATGTGCCTCCTTGTCTGTAGTAGTGATTAGGAGCTTCCGTGTTAGGAATTCGATTTCCCTCCTGGTGTTGGACTGGTAAATTGGTTTGGTCGTTATAGGGCCCCACCCTGTTAGACTTTTGAGCCTGAGTCGACCCTTCAACGGGTCCCAGTTGGCTCGTGTGGCATACTCAGGTCCACACGGGCCGAGCAGGGCCCGACCAGGTAGGCTAGGGGTCCGTAGGTGTAGGGGGTGTGTCGTTTCGACCCTTAGTAGGGTCTGCAGGGTCGGTAGGCCGGTTTTAGGCCTTAGTAGGACCGGTACCGGTTAGGAGCCCTGTAGGCCTCGTTTCAGGTACAGGCCCTGGCGCGCGTTTGGTGCCAGACCCTAACTTTGAGGCCGCGCCGTTTCGGTAGGCACTGGAGGCATCGAGGTACAAGGAGGTACCTCGGTCCACTCAAATTGGAGTAGGACTAGAGAAAATTAAAAAAAAGGCCGGTTCAAAAGGTCTTTTCTTTTAAACCAAAACGACCCTTTGATTATTCAGAACCGTAGGGCAACAATTGAAGATGAAAGTGAGGCCTAGGATGGCCACGAAGGTAGGCCGAGTTGTTACCAACCACTCAAATTGCATGACTTGACCAAAATAAGGTCCGGGTGCTTCCAGAGAGGCCCACTAATAAAAAGAGCCTTGGCGGTACCTCGGCTCACCTTGGGCATTTGGGAGAGGCCCAAGGGCTGGCCGGAGTGTTGTGCACAACCTATTTAAGCTCGAGGAGCAGTCCGCTTCACACATATTGGCATGAAGCAAGTAGATGTTTGCCAAATGAGCTCAAGAGAGCACTAGGCTCAACCCGGAGTAAGAGGAGGGGAGCCGCTACCCATATGAGAGCTTGGGAGAGACTCTAGGCTAGTGGAAGGAGCTACAGAGACTGGTGGTAGTGATGCTGGCCTAGGGAACTGTTTTGCCATAACCCTCAAATTGAGAGGAAGTGGAAGGAGCTATAGAGACTGGTGGTAGTGATGCTGGCCTAGGGAAGTGTTCTGCCATAACCCTCAGATAGTGATGCCTGCCTAGTGATAGTAGTCTGCCATAGCTTAAGAGAGGCTGAAAGAAGGAGTATGATGAGGGTTTGAAGGAGAAGGAAGTCATAGCCGGATAACAAGTGTGCAAAGCTTCACCAAGGTTGTCATCACAATATCAAGACACTAGAGGAGGTGAGTGGGAAAAGAGAAGGCGTTTCCCTTCTTCATCATTTCCCTTTCCTCTTCTTTTTTTCCTCCTTTCTTTTTTTTCTCCCTTTTTCTTTTTTTTTTCTTCTCTCTCTCTCTCTCTCTCTCTCTCTCTCTCTCTCTCTCTCTCTCCTCTCTTCAATTTTCTCTCTCTCTCTCCTCCTCTCTTCTTTCTCTTTATAACTAACTTCCTAACTAGAAGTAGGAAGTAGTTTCCTTACTAGAAGTTGCCTCCATGTAGTCCATTTTTTCACTCCCATATAAATTGTCACTTTGGTTTTTGCCTTCGCTCGCCTTGGTGTGTGTTTTGTCATATTTTGTTCAATCTTCCGCTAGGGTGTAAATCGTTACTTTCATGCTTGCTTCTTCTTTTCTAGTGAGCTTCATGCTCTTTTTTTTTGTCTATTTCTCCACTCTCATGTAAATCACTGCTTTGGTTTTTGCTTCAGCTAGCCTTGGGTGTGTGTTTTGTCATTTTTTGCTCCAAGCAATCTTCCACTTGGGTGTAAGCCTCTACTTTGATTCTTGCTTCTTCTCGTCTAGTGAATTTCCTTCTCTCTTGTTTGCCCATCCCTTCACTCCCATGTAAATCGCCACTTTGGTTTTTGCTTTCACTAGCCTTCGGGATGTGTGTTATCATCTTTTCCCTCAAGTCTTGCTCAATTTTCCACTGGGTGTAAATCGCTATTTTGATTATTGCTTGTTCTAGTGTAGTGAGCTTCATTCTCTCTTGTTTTGTCCATTCGTTCACCCCCATGTAAATCGCCACTTTCGTTTTTGCCTTCACTAGCCTGGGGTGTGTATTTTGTCATCCTTTCCTCCAACTGTTGTTCAATTTCTACTTGGGTGTAAATGGCTACTTTGATTTTTGCTTCTTCTAGTGTAGTGAGCTTCATTCTCTCTTGTTTTGTCCATTTATCCACTCCCATGTAAATCGCTACTTTGGGTCTTGCTTCAACTAGCCTTGGATATGTGTTTTGTCATTTTTTCCTTCCAAGTTTTGTTGAATCTTCCACTTGGGTGTAAATCGCTACTTCGATTATTTCTTCCTCTAGTGTAGTGAACTTCATTCTTTCTTGTTTCGTCAAATTTCTCCACTCCCATGTGGGTGTAAATCGCAACTTTGATTATTGCTTCTTCTAATGTAGTGAGTTTCATTCTCTCTTATTTTGTTAATTTCTCCACTGCCATGTAAGTTGTTACTTTAGTTTTTGTTGCAACTAGCCTTGGGCATGTGTTTTGTCATCTTTTCTCTTAAGTTTTGTTCAACATTCCACTTGGGTGCAAATCGCTATTTTGATTCTTGCTTCTTCCAGTGTAGCGAGCTTTATTCTCTCTTATTTTGTCAATTTCTTTACTCCCATGTAAATCGCTACTTTGGTCTTTGCTTCAACTAGCCTTGGGCAAGTGTTTTGTCATCTTTTTCGTTAAGTTTTGTTCAATCTTCCACTTGGGTGTGTTTTGCTTCACTGTTAGGTGCTTCCACTAGTCATGTGCATGTGCCTTGTGAAGTTCCTCTCATGTTTTCCGTCAATCTTCCACTTAGTGGTATTCCACTTCACTCTTGGTTGTGTCCACTAGTCATGTGCATATGCCTTGTCAAGTTTCTCTCATAGTTTTTGTCAAAATCTCCCACCTAGTAGCATTTCACTTCACTCTTGGGTGCTTCCACTAGTCATGTGCATGTGCCTTGTCAAGTTTCTTTCGTGGTTTCCGTCAATCTTCCGCGTGGTAGTGTTCTGGTTCACTCTTGGATGCTTCCACTAGTCATGTGCATGTGCCTTATAAAGTTCCTCTCGTGTTTTTTGTCAGTCTTCCACTTGGTGGTGTTTCACCTCACTCTTGGGTGCTTCGACTAGTCATGCATGTGCCTTGTCAAGTTCCTCTCGTGTTTTCCATCGATCTTCCACTTGGTAATGTTTCACTTCACTCTTGGGCGCTTCCACTAGTGACGTGTTTGTGCCTTGTTAAGTTTCTCTCATGCTTTCCGTCAATCTTCCTCTTGGTAATATTATGTTTCACCTATGGGTGCTTCCACAAGTCATGTGAGTGTGCCTTGTCAAGTTTCCCTTACGTTTTTCGTCAATCT